GAGCCCCCGCAACCTGGTAACTACTCAAGGCGAGTCAACAGCGGTGACGTAACAGGATGACGTGGCACTCATTACGCAACAAGCAAGCAATGCAGCTATATAAGTGAGCAGCACAGTGGCTTCGAGTCAGTTATAAAGTAACAGTCGCCGAGTTGAAACATAGCAGCCTGCGAGTGTGCGATACTTAAGAAGTCAGCGAGCGGAAGACTTTTCGTGTGCTTTCCAGACATAGTGAGTGCTGTAGTACAGTTATACTCGGAGTGTGTAATTCAGGGAGACTGGTATAGCTCCCGCATTATTAATACGTGAAGACTCTTGAAGATAGTGCCAAGAGATTTTGTTGTAGGGTTTGTAAAGTGTGGAAACCCGTAATATTGTGATAGTTAATTGTAGCCGTTATTTAGAGATTGTCAAATAAACCAATTAACCATCTCTACGGCGTCTTCTGTAACGAAACACGTTACAATAAGTATATTGACTTTGTATGGACCGCCTCTGTGGTCTAGCGGTTAGAGCTCCTGGTTACGGATCCAGAGGTCCCAGGTTCGATTCCCGGCGCCACCAGATTTTCTGGGTAGTGGGTCTGGAACAGGGCCCACTCAGCCTCGTGAGGATACTGGAGGAGCTATTTGATGAAAATATCAGATCCAGTCTAGAAAACTGAAATTAACGGCTGTGGGGATTTGCTACACTGACCATGCAACACCCTCTATCCACAAAAGTCGACATTAACCTTGCCAACAAGCGGCACTTGCTCAGTCGGTATAGTTCTTGCATGACTTAAAGCCACGGAGTTTGTCTTTGTTTATTGACTTTGTATTAAAAGCATTAAAGATGCAAGACTATTATAGGCTATTAAAAATTATATATATGCAAAGTTTCAAAGTTATAGTGTCAATATGATGTTACGCTACATCATTACAGTTTGTGTATCCATGTTGTGTCCACATGTGAACGGTCACAGTATCCGGGTGTATGATATGTAAATATATATGGAAGCTATATAAGGGGTTATGTGTAATGCTAACATGGATGTGTTCATCAGTAAAAAATTGTATGGTACTTGTGGTCCTCAATTATCTTGTGTCCTTGTATGGGCATTATACTAGGTATGTACTAGGGCCATGCTTAGTTCAATGTGGAAGATAGATAGATCTAGAAATGTGGGAGCCTCTGCATCTCACAACCCTATGGGCTTCCATGGCAAATTACATGGATAACCTCTAGCCTAACAATATGCATTATTCCATTATTTATGAATGTCCAAAGCATGCATACTCTAAAAAATTGTGAAAACCTACTACCAAAGAGAGCTTCTGGACACGAATTTAAAGTTGTGTTAGTCTCCCTCTCACTTGACAAGTCTGTGAGCTTGGAACACTATTACCAACTGTGGAAATTGGCATAACATTCACATGAAAATTTCATAAAACCGGCCAACTGGTTTGAAAGTTAAAAGGACATAGAAGGATGTACATATATAGCATGATAATCTCATATTTCTAATTTTTTCCTTGCATAGCCCTGCTGCTACAGCCTGTCATCCTGATGAATATACAAACTTACCAACTTTGCTCCCTTCTTCCTCCCAAGTGGCAGAGCATAATGAGCTTCGTACCACTGCCGGAATGGTGTAGCATCAATCACTACAATGGCATTCTTTACAAGCGTCTTTGTGCGCACCAGTTCGTTATTCGAGGCATTGTATACTACGTCAATGATACGTGTTTTGCGAGTACAGCCTGCACAAAATTAAGTATTATACATAAAAACAAGCAAAACCTTTTTATTATGCAACTCTTACACCAGATGCTGGCAGACTCAGTTATGATACGAGTTTCATCAATAATTATCAGGGTAGGTAAAGGTAAAGTCATCATCCCTGCCACTATGTTACACGTTATCCAATATAGTGCAGAAGCATTTTATGCGAAGGATGCATTCCTCAAGACCTCATGTAATTCAAGACAAGTTTTGTCACAGGAATAAATATATTGCCAAACTTTTTGTAATAGCATAATTTCAAACTCTGGATATAAAGTGAGACTTTGTTGGCATTTTTATAATGGCCTGTTTCAAATTTACATAAAATGTGACCGCAATGTATTGTATGAACTATTTAATTAGTCACACACAAACACAATACACATATACGAAGGGGGACCCAAAAATAACCGGAAACGACCTGTTGCGCGCGCAAGCTTTGTAGTTACGAGTTGTGCTGCTAGGTGGTGTTAGCTGGGGGTCTCCCGCGACTGTTAGTGAGCTGGCATCATTCTGAGTTAAGTGGATTGTCTGTGGTGCTCTGTTGTGTGCGTTCCTGTTTCAACCCTTTGGCGATTAGTGAGATGGCCGACCAGAAGGAACAAAGAGTGTGCGTGAAATTTTGCTTTCTGTTAGGGAAAACTGCACTTCACTCTTCAAGTTGCGGCAAACATTCATGCGGTTTTCTCTTTGGTCATCTCTGAGCAAGCGAGGAACAAATTTTGCAGACACCCGTCTCATGTGCAAACCTTCGGTTAAAATTCGCTGGACCGTGCTTCATGAGATGTTCATTTCCTCAGAAAGTTGGTCAATGGTCTTTCGACGATCTTCATCAATTTCACGCACACTCTTTGTTCCTTCTGGTCGGCCATCTCACTAATTGCCAAAGGGTTGAAACAGGAATGCACACAACAGAGCACCAGACAAACCACTTAACTAAGACTGATGCCAGCTCACTAAGAGTCGCGGGAGACCCCCCAGCTAACACCACATAGCAGCACAACTCGTAACTACAAAGCATGCGTGCGCAACAGGTCGTTTCCGGTTATTTTTGGGCCCCCCCTCGTAAAAATGAATACTTTTACGTGTATATGAATATTAGCGAACAACATGCAAATTCCCTGACAGGTTACCAAAGGGACTGATCTATATAAGAGATCACATGGGGAACTGCTTTGTACCTTTATTTCACCCAGCAGTATACATTTTGGCAATACTGAATTTCTGTATTGTAATGCAACTGTTATGTTCCTTCCATATGCTTCACAACTGTGTGAAGTCAGCTGCATGTCTTCTGATGTGACACTGTAGAATTTCTCCTCCCAAAACAATCATAAATGCTTTGTACCAGGGTATTCAATTTTATGCTTTGACATAAACAAACATGGATGTAATATGCAGACATGCTTAAACTTCAACCTTCAAACTGCTGGCAGCACTGTAGCCCTACAGTGCAGCTTTGTTTTCTGACCGATGCTCCTTTGACTTAAAAACCTGACAAAATGCTATGAACATCCACATTACTCACCCATCAAAATGGTACCTGCAGAAAACTAGTGGCAACATAAAAAACGCAACTGCTAGTTGCTAGTGGGGTGGGACTAAGTCCCTTGTACTGTGGCCATTTCAGGCCTATTGTACCAGCCCCAGATAATAGGTGAGAGTGATTGTGAAGCAATTGGTGGAATGAAGACTGGCAGGGGAAACCAAAGTATTCATAGAAAACCTGCCTCAGCGCCACTTTGTCCACCACAAATCCCATTTGCCGAGCCCTGGGATCAAAACTGGGCTGCCGTGGTGGGAAGCCAGCGATTAACTGCTTGAGCTATGGTGTAGCCCCTTAGAAAACATTAACTCTAGTACATTCTACACATGTGAGAGTAAGACCTGTTTTTTCAGATGACGAAATATGAAAAATGCCTTACATCTGGGTAAATACGACATTTGGATCACTGGTTTTTAACCATACATGTTGCTCCTCCTCCCAATGACACATTCTACAATTCTGTATCATATACCACAGAAAGTTATACCAGTTTCCAAATGTACTGTAGTCAGATCTTTTCTCAATTTCAGTAACAGGCTGCAGGTGGTAGTCATTACACATGAAAACGTTTTCATGACGTAGACTAAAAAATCAAGAATAAAGGCAAATTTATACTCACAAACAGCATTAATGGCATGCTTATATAGTAATAATATTCACAATAACAAACAAACAAAACACTTACATTCTGAACCCCAGGAAAAATTGCCTTGATCCAACCGAAGTGCACGGTACTTCTTATTACCACCCCTTGTCCTGACTGTATGGATTCGTTTGGCACCAAGCTGAAATGATTGTGGCTACTTTACACGCAAATTATTAATATACCCATTGCCTGGGACATTCAGTTTGGATGGCTTCAGTACGTTAGAGGTGAAAAACACTTCAGAGAGAAATCAGGAGGGTGCATTGAAGCTCAGTCATCATTTGCCATATAGAAGGGAGAGTAAGGAAATATGTCACAAATGGATATAAAACATTTAATATTCAAACTTGAAAAAAGCAAACAAACAAAACAATTATTTCGTGACATATCCTCCTTGAGAGAATTTCTTGACCCAGCTCTGAACTGCTTTATGCAAAAAACACTTCCCACCATAAACACAAAATATTTACAAAGTCAATAAAAAGTCCGTCGAGTGTAACAATTTATAGGTCACTTCTTTATCACTTCTGCCTTACATGTTTCAGTTTAATAAAACCATCATCAGAGGCACATAGTACAAGCATGAAAACACTGCCGTTGTTTAAGATGTACACAGTTATGTTTGCTGCGTGAACGCTGCTACAATACATCGACGTGTAAAAGCACAACACTTGTTAGGATTGTTGAACAACAAGTGTTGTGCTTTTACACGTCGACGTATTGTAGCAGCGTTCACGCAGCAAACATAACTGTGTACATCTTAAACAACGGCAGTGTTTTCATGCTTGTACTATGTGCCTCTGATGATGGTTTTATTAAACCGAAACATGTAAGGCAGAAGTGATAAAGAAGTGACCTATAAATTGTTACACTCGACGGACTTTTTATTGACTTTGTGATTGATAGTGTAACGAACCAAAAATGAAACAAATCAAAAACAAAATATTTATTTATGAATATCATTTACATCAAGTCCTTTTGCCCACATAAACCGCTCTTCAGTAGTACAAAAAACACAGTCACCATTTTGATTACTGACACCAGCCTGTGAACATGCACATGCATCTTCTACCTACAGTCCATTCACAGAGAGGAGAGAGTCCTCATAAACAAATGCATGCGCTATCTCCTTCGCTCTTTGAATGAAAACATGCAGCGATCACGTGATGCGTGTCCCGTTGCAGGGGCGTCCAAAGTTCACTCTTCAGTCTGAATGCAGTGAATACAATGAGTATAACACACACAGTCACAGGAGCAAGACACAACACAACGCACAATACACACACGATAGTGAAAGAGTGCTCCAACAGAAGAGGATAGGTGTGACTCGCGTAGTGAGATACGACGTAGCGACGAAAAATCCTGAACAATTTTAATATTTTTAACATTTAACATTTATCAACATATATGATAAATATATATTTTAGTTATTTTAATATGAAGACAAGGCATGCAATGAACTAGTTTAGCGTAAATTGAATAAGCACCTGAAGATGGCATTTTTGTGCCGAAACATGTAGTGCGAGTGAGAGGAGGAGATAGATGAGTGTATGCACTGGAAGATTATACAAAAAAGAAAAGACCTAGGCAATGCTCATTTGGCCCTTTGTAACAGTCTTATAAACATGTTATTTTATCATAGTGGTCGCCCCACGATTCGTGAATATATCTCAAATCTAAAAGCAGGCTATTAATATCTTCTTTTCTTAGTTTATTTAGGAATTTTGTTTATGGAGTAACAGATACCTTGCACAAATGTTTTCCTTCTAGCCTTCAGAGCTCTGTAACAGACTTTGGATATTCTTCTTACTTTCTCACGAAGCTTGACTGTGCTATCAACCAGTGATACAAACAGAAAGCCTATTTTACTTCCATTTGTGGCCTAGTTACTGACTCTCCCTTGTATTTTCATTTTATAATTCAGCCACTATCAACATCCACTTATGTTAAGTCTGATTACCTTGGTATTTGCTGCTGGCCGGCCTAACTCAAATTTCCTCTTCTTGCGAAGGGGTTTCCTCTTACCACCTGTAGCTCGCCGCTTATGCCAATGGTCACGGGATATACCTTTGAAATAAATTCAGAACTGATTACTGAAACATTACATATTTTCCCAACTGGATTTGTTTCAGTACTGATACCACCGTGACATCCATCAACACCTAGTACTGTTATTTCTTGTCTCACGTCTTTACAACCCCTTTTAATATTAGCCTTCCGTCTACGCCAAGGTCTTCCACGTTCTCTCTTCCCTTCATACTTTCTGACCAGAATTCCGTATGCACATTGTCTCTCACACGTGCTACAAGTCCTGCAGAACTACAATCTAACAAATAAATACTACCTATGTCAGTAGTAAATGGCGATGGTATATACTTGCTATAAGTAAATAGGTGCTGTTGATGGACGGTATTGTGATGAAGTATGTCAAGTTCAGAACGCTATGGGATTATATGTCCACAAAACCATTCAGAATAAAGTCTGTCATCATCCTTGACTATAACACATTCTTGCGACCGATGAACCCGAGCACATTAAGAAACGATAATGAAATAACCTTAATTCATAAGAACATGTGTCCTACTCTGTTAACGTACCACAGCCTCACGGACTCCGAAGTTTGCCAGTTACACCCAATTCATATTAAACCACAGATCACGTAACGTGATAATAATAACATAAAACATTACGGTATGACAAATACAAATTTGAATGAAAAGAGTAAACGTCATATCAACCGATGAACTAAGATCTTAATAACAACCCAAACTCAACTCACTTACCCATTTTGCCGACGATTATAGAGGAACCGGATATTGAACTTTGGGTAATATGTATACCGGTATACCAACCAATAGTGATCGAGTATTAGCATGACAAACTTAATATTGACGTTTCACTTTGTTTTAATCTACTGCACACTGTTTTGCATAATTAGCAGAATATAAAAACATCATTTGAATGACTAAACATAATTTATATATCTTCTGCATTTCAAGAAATGTCTTAAATTCAGCGAAATATAAGTGCCATAGCATACCAAAATTAATACTGTGAGCATGATACAGAAAGTTCTCATAAAATTGTAAAAATGGCCGACGATTCAGGTAACGAAGAGCAGTGGTTATATGGAGATTCGAATCAAGAACCACCAGAAGATGAAAACAAAGAGAAATACAAAGGTGGCACCATAGACGCAACTGCCGAGGATACTCAGCAGATTGAAATTACTGGCGAAAGTGGACAGGTATTCAGCTGTGCCTGATGACTTGAAATATATTTCATTAAGGTTAAGATAACTAAGTTACGTTTATCATAAATCGTTTTCATGTTTAGTTACAAGTACCAGAACCGCCAACTATTCCTCCGCCAACAGAGCACGAGGATGGTCAACTAAGTGGTGGCGAAGAACAACAGATTCAGGCCTCTGCTGTTGACGAAGCAGGAGTGGAGGAAACAGGTGATTGAGGTTAACTCACATAATCTGCAGTGTGTTTTGTGGGACGCATTGCATACCGGTTTCTGTTATCTATGGAAGATATCAAGCCAATTGCAGTTCAGCAAAAACCGGGACACATTCGGTTTTATTTGTTTTCAAACACTTATGGTCAGATTCTCTGATTGTAGTGGAATGACAAAACTATTATACAAGAGTGTATTTTCAAACCAGCATGAAATGACATGAGTCAGTAGGAATGTAATAAAAACAAAATGCAGAATCACAGTGGAATTTGGTAGTTACTATAATTGTGGATAAGTGTGTCATGGCATTTCTACCACCATTCTTCCATTTCTCTACAGGGATTTATATCTTCATTAGTCTTATATTGCATAGTTTTAATGATTTATATCCACAGTTATATTTGTGTTATTTTGTTTTTCATCCCACTAAGTATAATTTTATTTGTTTCAAAATATTGTAAGTATTAATTTAAGAGTACTTGAATGCAGTCTAAACTGCTGGAGCAGTCAAGCTTGTTATGTAGAGCGAGATGAAAAATATTTCACTAATGCAAGACAATATTATATAAGTGATTATATATTTTTTCATTGTCTGTTATCACCAAAGCTGTAATTACTGGTGAACCTATGTTAAGTGATTCTCTTGTCATTATGACATGGCTTGCCCTCAGATGACGCATGGAGGAGTTGGCCTTCAGATATGAAGGACAGTTATGAATATATTGAATAAGCAATAGGAGACACCAAAAGGGAATGGTTTTGCTTTGGGGTTGGGTAAGGAGCTGATAGCAGCTCAGTAAAAAAAAAAGCATATTACAAAATGTAACTGGACTTCAGTTTCATTGTGAACATGGCAATGGCATATATTTGTCCAATTTTATGACACTTTTGGTATCTTGATTATGTAGCATTGAATGGTAGTATGATTGATAAATGATGAATTGGAAAAGATTTGTAAAGAATTGGTCATGACATAATCAGAGTGCTATCCAGGCATTAGCATGAAGAACTGAGGAAAACCACAAAAATCCTCAATCAGAAAAGTCAGTGTTCTGGCCAAGATTTATATCAGACCAATGTTCTCTGTGAGTTTGTTAGTACTGGTGAACAGTCACAACATATTAAACCTGCTTCAAGTATCCAATTCAGATTAAAAAGAACTTTACATATGTGGAAAGTGGAAGTGTAGGAGCATACAATAAAGGATACTCATGACTTTTGTTGTACAGGTTCAACTTCGGTTTGTTTAAAGTTCCTAATTGTTCTTTGAATGGCATACTCTTTTTGACTGGGTTTCTCTGGGAAGAAGTTACAGTTTCTATTAGTCTTTTGAAAACAATTTGTGTAAAATATTCAGTTCAATTCAGTTCAATTTTATTTCAGCCATGGATCATTATATATGATATGGGACAAGTCAGAGATTAATATTAATACTAAATAATAATAAGTATATAATAATACAGAAATAATATGACAATATAATAATAAATTATAATAATAATATATTATTATAGTAATACAGAGATAATAATATGACAATATAATAATAAATGACTATAATAATTTAGCAGTCTTGAAAACAGTTTCTGTGGTCTTGAATCCTCCTTAAGATGGCACCAGGCAGATAATTCCCAGAAGCAGTCACGAAGTGTTATTTCCTGGAGAGATAAATGAACTGAGCAGTAAGCGTTCTCATGACTTATATTATTCAACACTATGAGGCTAATTGATTCTTGGAATATATAATTTAGACTGACTAGAACTCTTTTCTAAAAAATAAAATATTCGTCTACACTGTAAAAATAATAAATGAACTGAGCGGTAAGCGTTCTCATGACTTGTATTATTCAATATTATGAGGCTAATTGATTCTTGGAATTTTGGGATATATAATTTAGACTAACTAGAACTCTTTTCTAAAAAAGTAAGACACT